ATATGAACTAAACCTAATACAACGTGAAAAGGTAAAAACGTTGCCAAAATTAATTACATACATGTTATCATTTCTTTATATACGTACATTTCTGTCTAGTCTATTATATAAACCATGAATATGCAAATTATTTCGTTTTCAATATATTGAATGATAAAATATTAATATGTTTGTATTTACGTTGAAAGCAGTGTAATCCATGATGCATTACTGTAATATGATAATTACTTGGTAACGAATACAAGTAATTACATTTTGTCTAATATTTTGCACAAGCCTTAGAATGGATGTTGAGCCGGTAATTTGAACGAAACTTGAAGAAAGCTTCCCTGACGTCGTAAACAGACGTTACCACGCACTAGTGTCAATCAAGTCACATTGTCAGCCACTTCCCAATATAGCTAAAATTGCATGACTAGTTTATTCTTCAAGCAAGTCCGCTCGTGCCATATATGTACAGTGTAAGTTATATGGTCGTGTCGGGTGATGTTACGCTGGTTACATACCTGATCCATGTATCCTGTGTTTAGGATAATCTCATCAATGTGTCATTTGAAGATTTCAATTGAGGAGTTTAATACAATACATAAATTACGTATATTAATTTCGTGGAAGAAATTTCCACGAAAGGGGCGCCGAATCACTTGCAGACGACTTGGGTGTGGATCGGGGTGTCGTACTTAGCAGAGCAGCCGCTTCGCTGCGATCTATTGAAAGTAAGCCTCAAAGACCCGTTGGAAGAAATTTCCACGAAATGCTAAATTGATGATTTTTCACAATTACTTGGAAGATTGAAACTGACTGAGCGAGATGACATAATATAGTGTTTAATATCTTCACATTTAATATTTTATAATATTGAGTATGCGTGCACCCGAAGTATAGGGAATGAAATTGGGAGGGGGGGGTACTATGTTACACACATGACATGGTCATGTGAATGGCATATGTGGCATATGTGAAAAAAATAATCCATAGTCTTCCAGATTTGACAATGATTTGCAACAATCTAGTGAATATTCCGAAATCGAACAGAGGTATATATTATGATGCTATTGTATACATACATGAATAAATCGGTGGCGGTGGCACCGGGGTCAAAGTCAAGCTGAAACCCTTTATGTTATGTTATGTATGTCAGTAAAATTTGATCCTCAAAATGAGAAAATAGCGTTTCAGCTGGTCTAGATTTCTTTTTTTTTCTGGGGGGGGGGGGGAGGGGCATGCCCTTCAATCCCTAGTAAAGTGAGGGATGATGAGCAGATCTCGTCGCCCCACCTGAAAAAAATGAGTCAGGGTCGTACGCTAAACATGAGAAAACAACGAACGTCGGTCAACTGAACATATCATATTTGAACTAGCAATTTGATTGGTGACGAGTGCTATTGAGATTTCCATTTACCCATGGAATTGACAAACGTACCAGGAATAAATCATAGATACACTGTGTGCTCGAAATGTCTGAGGTCTGGACGAACCCGGAGATCTAACAACAAAAACTCGGGTAACACTCGTCTCTTGTGAAGTTTTAATGTTGTCAGCCGAGTAAAAGCGGACTGTCCATAACAGCAATTTTAATGGGAAAAAAATCGTATATTCGTTCATAGTGAGTTAAGTAAACGTGATTTTACTCACTGTCTTGCTTACAATTCATCAACAATATCGTGAATTTGCGATATAGAAACACATCATGAACTATATATAGTCTATGTTTTTTATTTTGTTCGGAACATGTCGGTGTAACCATGGAGGTAGAAAAGTACTACTTCTATGGTGTAACCGTTTATCAAATCGGCAAGTAAACAGCGCCCTCACCAAGGAAGTCTTTGGTACCTCGAATAAAAGCTTTATTTTCTGATCGGTTTTTTAATTGTGACAGATCACAATTTTACAATTATTATTATAATTTTCGATAGTTATACAGGTATTTCACTATAATTTTATAGTTTTATTTTATTATAACTGTGAGACAAGTCATTAGATATATAATGTAATATATACTGTGCACGAGGTCGACATCCGGGCGACTTTGGCGCAGTTATCAGAGCAATGGCGGCCATTACATGTGAGTAGAGAACCTTTATCTGTTTGTGTCTCATGATTTTCGTGAATTTGTCTCGCGAAAGTCAGTATGAGTTCCTTACCATAATTGTTCGATATATAGTGTCATTCGGAAAGTGCTTTCATCTTCTTCATTTGAATGTAACATATGCACAGGGACGATGACGATGTAAGTGTCGCGATGGCAGTTCGTACCGTCTGCACACATGATTTGCAGAAAATCGTTTGTTTTGGGTGCTCCTCGAGATGACTTTGATGCGAATGAATTGAGGTGCTCGTGGAACCAGAAAAAAATGAGTTGTTCAGAATAGAAATCGGTCGTTATAGCTCTGTTAGAAGTAGCACCTCATGATGTGTTCTGAATCGCATTTATCTTGATATTAAATGATATGTCGATTATCTATTCGAAATCTTAAAAAGTAATCGTTTCGAATAAGTTTTTGGGCTTTAGGTGACGGGAAGGCTAAATTCATTGCTTGAAAGTTAATCAACATTATATATGTGATAGTTGTTGGTAGTGGAGTGGTCATACTCTAATGTCTAGTGATTGCTATTTTTTCTTTCATCTTGCGATAAATTGATTGATAATTTCCTCATGCCGAAACAGACAAAGTTAGTTTCGTCTCTCCTTCTTACTTATTTCTATATTATTTCTTGGATTATGTTTTAGATGACAAAATTGTTAATATTAGATGAAAATAATTGGATAGACATTCTTAATGAGTATTGGTTTTAACTTGTGCATAAACAAATTTAATGATGTCACTCATCCGCTATTTTTGCCTGTGAGTTAAAGTGTATTAAGTACAAAAAGAAGCACCAAGTTTATTTCTTGCATAAACATATATTGCCTATTGTCCTTGAAACTTGAGGTTTCCCAGATTAGTTATTTGATAATCAGTACACACTTTTTTCCAACCCTTTTACACTAAAAGTTTCAGTTATTTTTCAGTTATGGATGTCATAGAACTCATACCATATTTTGCTTGTGTGTCTATGGTCAAAATAAGTACTTTTCTGATGGATCCGCTCAGTATACATGTAATTTTTTTTCTGTTTATAGTACCTGGAGATGTGATAATAATTAAAATATGGCATGGTAGTTTCATATTCCAATATATTCCAGATCTAGGTGTTATACATTTTTGTGCAATTGAAAAATGCAATGATTCAATTGGTATTGTAAACATGGCTCTGTAAAACAAATTAGCAAATACAATCTGTTGTTAAAATTGATATGCTATTATGGATCTGCATTTTTCTTTTAGTAATTTGTGTTAATTTTTATTTATTTGTGTATAACCTACTTACAAGACAGTTAAATACAAATTAATATACAGGTAAACGTGCTTAACACACGAAACAGGAATAACAATATTAATGCAGAACTTATTGAAATGTTTGAAAAAACAATTGGAATCATCTTTTGGTTTTTGATCAATTAAATTATTAATCATAAAATTTATTGTATGAATTTGTGATTTTGTGCACAGCAGTGAAAAAATAAAGTTGCGATAAGATCTTGTATGAAAGGAAGCTTATAAAAAGTTGTATCCCGAGATACTTTCCACTCTTGTATGCAAAAATAGACTTAAATACAAATCTGTTGAACCTGTTTTTCTCTAAAACCTTGTATGTGTACAACTTGGTCAGTGACAAGCCCAAGCTAGACAGTGACATTTGAGCATCAAGCATTGTCTTCTGAGCAATTTTTTGCTTACACCAGTGCCACAGCTGGTTCAAAGCTCACATTCAGATTTGTGTAAGCAGTGTCTTTTCCACACATATTCTTAGGCATTTCTCTAGGGAATTGAGATTCAGCTGAAAAAAGTATGTAGTTCAAGTAGATAGCTAAAGCTGTCATTTAGGATATGAACAGCCAACTTTCAGAGAAAACACTTTGTTTTTCAATATGTCACATCAATCCCATATCGCTTTAAATATCTATCACACATTTAGAAATAAGAATCAATATTAGTTGAAAAACATACACTTTTAATGAGTTCATTGGAAAACAGGATGACCATCTGGCTGAGCAGTGTTCTAGATAGGATTTCTAAAAGGCATACCTCAATGAATTTTACATTTCCATCCACTTGTAAGTAAAATTCAGTCAAAACAATCCTTGTTCTTTTGTTTGCATTTTCAGTCACCTATATAAATTCTACCTAGTTAGTCCCCGTTCGAACGTAGTCCGAAAACGGGGACTTATGTTTTGCCCTGTGTGCGTTCGTGCATGATCACCTGTATCTCGAACATGCATGGACCGATTAAGTTCAAACTTCACTTATACATCACACATTATATGGGACATATGCACATGCATTTTTTTCATGATCCGATTAACGATAGCCGAATAGCGGCCATTTTAAAGCCGAAAATGCATCAAAATCGCACATTTTCACCATTCCGGACCCGGATCTCAGTTATGCATGGATGGATTTTGTTCAAATTTGGTACATACATTAAACATAATAGAACCTTGATGCCCATCATTTTATTTTTTCGGATCAAGTTCGAAATGGCCGACTGGTGGCCATTTTGTTTTAAAGAATTCAGTTCTGGATCCGTATCCAAGACATGTCTGGATTGATCAAGTTCAAATTTCACACACACATGGTACATCATGTCACAAATAGATATGTGCATTTGTTTCATGATCCGCTTAACAATAGCTGAATGATGGTCATTTTAAGGCCGAAAATGCATCAAAATCACGTATTTTCACAATTCCGGAACCGGATCTCAGTCATGCATGGATGGATTTTGTTCAGATTTAGTACAATGTGTTGTACATATGCAGGTGCATTTCGGTCATGATCTGCTTTGAATGTATATGTCACTCAAATATGAACGGAAAGGGGACGTGTCATTGACAATGACTTGTTGATTTTTCATTCTTAACAAATTTGATCCCTTTTTATAGATTGAAGAACTTCATTTTCTATAATTGAATCAAGACTATGTTGTTTCTTGTAACTTTGACAATATGAAGGTCGATAGAACTAAATTGAAGAAAAGTGTCTCTGAAGTGGTGAGTATTGACATCTTTATGAATGCTTATGTACCATTCATATCTGCTACCCTTTGAGCTTTTTTAGCAGGCAGTGTGCTGAAGTCCTTGAAATGTAATTTTGACTCTTGTGTGTGAAGCAAAAAACGAGAGTCGTTACAGTTAGTGTGTCTGTCTGTGTCTGTGTGTGTATGTGTCTGTTCCACTGATATCTCAAGAACCATACATTGATTTTTGATTAAACTTGGTGCATAGATGCTCTGGGGCCAATGCGCAGATTTGATTAGGTTTTGGTAATCATCACATTTCAATAAAACTTGGTACATAGATGTCATAGGACACTGCACAGACCTGATAGTTTTTAGGGTAATATCAGTACATATTAATTACCTAATTTGCATAATTAATTAATTTTCAGCTTTTGATATTTCAAGTAGTAATTTCTATGAAACTTGGTACATAGTTACTTAAAGACTGTGCAGAGACCTGTTTAGTTTTTGGGGTAAATTTTTGTGCATATTAGTTAATTTTCAACTTTTCGCCTGATAACTCAAGTACTGATCCTTAATTTTTCAATGACACTTGCTACATAGATCCTCTAGGACTATGCAGAGACCTGATTAGTTTTAGGGTAAATAATTGTGGATATTATTACCTAATTCGCATAATTATTTAATTTGTTCCATGAATGTTCCACTGATATACTGTAAACCGCTTAAATTTCGCGGCTAGAAATTTTTGCGAGTTTGTGAATTCGGGCACATTCGCAACGACTAATGTTCGCGATTTTGCTTTCTTTGTTTTAAATTTTCAATACAAGTTTTTCTGGTCGCGTGGTGGTCCATTCGTGAAACAATGAAGTTTTATGTAAACAAAGACGCAACCGGATGCATTACACGCCTTCAACCAAAGCGTAATACTGGGTTAATTCGTGTATAATCCCCTCTGTGTCATACTATTGTCTTAAGTATTGTTAATGGGGGGTTGTCTTCACCAAGCCACTTAAAAAATTCACACTTTGAGAAAGTCTAGACATGTCCATACTGGTTAATCGCAACGTGTCACGAAAAACAGTACTTGGGCCCATCCGCTAAAACGTTCCTACTTCACACGTTGAAGGTGTCTCGTTTTTTCCATTGTTTCAATAATAATACTGCAGACAAAATCGGCACTGTCAAATGAAAAATCTGCTTAAAAAGCCATGATTTTGGGATGGATCATCACTTGTCGTGTTATAACTGAACGGTATACTCACTGCACTCTTCTCTTCCAAGCATTTACAATGTGGCGTTTTGTTATTCGAAATCCTGATGATCAAACCAAGCCCGGGCTTCCTGATCCAAAAAGAACCGACAACGCTGAAGAAACCACACGAGCAAATGAAGAAGTAACTCCAGTTTTAGAAGCTATTGGACCGCGTGGTCAAAAGCGAAAACATGAACACTATGAATTTTACAGTCCCGAACTTCGTGCGAAGATCGGCAAATACGCAGCCGAAAATGGCAACTCAAAAGCAGCCCGCCATTTTACAGTGGTCTTGGCTAAAAAGGTTAACGTAAGTACAGTTCGGTCCATGAAAGATTCGTACTT